ATCCCGAGGGAAATTCAAGTATCCAGTAGCATACAAAATACAGGACATACATTAAACATACATTAAACTAAATTTAAAAACCCTGACCTTAAGAATAGAATTAAAAATAAAGCTGCAGCCATTTTTCTGATTTCGTAGAACTCTTGGCTCTAATGTGAATTAAAATGGACTCCAATAGTCCATGAAGACTCCACAGGTCCTTTGTAATTAGTGCCCAATGTGTATGCTACTCATTCTGCCTGGCTAAACCTTGACACACTTTGCTCTCCACACTGGGTGTCAACTCTGAATCCTAATTCACTTAATCGTCCTCAGGTGACAAATACCTCTGGAGTAATTTGCCGTATTAAAGCCATGGCTCAGGGGTCTTGATTTGTTAGTCACAATCCCTTCAGCAACACCTCAGTGCCCTTCATTGCACAAGTCAAAACTCCTGAGTGGAGAAACTCTACCACTGTATGATTGCCCTGCTATCTCACATGCCATTCTCAATATGTGGTATTACAGTAGCAGAACAGAATACAGTATACTGCTGAGAAGATGGTTTTCCAAGTTATTACCACCCTTTTCAAACACACGTACATAAACTCCTGCACTCATAAAATGATTTATATGCAGCTCACATCTCCTCAATATCGTATGGTAACTTTGTTTTGATTTGAAATGCGTTGATGACCAGGAGGGGTTGCGGTTTCCTGATGCTGCTGTTTTGATATTTTTCCGAGAACAAGAATAACTTTGTAAGAAAGTAGGCAATTAATGCAGTTACCCTTCTCCTGCCTCAGGAAGCCAGCTCACTTTGAAGTTCCCAGATCCACTGAACATACACTATATTTACTCTATACGGATTTGCTGTGTTTTGGATGGACCATGTTGAATGAAAACACATCTCAAAGGGACTTTGCCACATACCTGCAGTTTTGGACAACCTTGAAACTCAACTGGAATGTTTAGATTTCTCAGACCCCAAGCTGGAACGGCTTCCAGCAATTGGCACAGGGTCCAAAGCCAGACCAGCCAGAGGGCAGAGGTTGGGCAGACGGGGCTTAAAAAGAAAAATGGAAGGCTGGTGGGCAGATGGATGCAGACCTGATGAAGCAGCATTATATCAGGGGGGTGCTCAAGCACAGACTGGCACAGTAATTATGTTAACATTTAAGATAATCTGTTCAGAAACCAGCTCTCCTGTCATGTACTATTCCTATTCCTAGAGCGCAAGAGGATGGTTTTATTATTGCGGAGGTAGAGATATACTCAGCAGTCAAATAAAACTGTCAGAAAATTACAACTGCCTCTACCACAGTAGCAAGCTAGAAGGGTAAGGTCCCACACAATCCACTAAATGACACAAGAAAGACTTAACGCTGAAATCCAATAAGATGCGGTGTGTAGAGACAGACTCAGACACAGTAATCAGCTTCACACTGGGACATTACTGGTAAAGCTGGAATGTTTGGGGTGGACTGGAGAAAGAGCATCTGAGGTGCTTGTCAGTTCAATAATCTGTACTGTGTCTTTTTACTTGAAGGGATTGTCAGAGATGGGTTTTCTTTTTTTGCTTGTTTGTTTTTTTTAACCACCAATGGCTTTGCTTTCTCCCAAATTAACCAGAGATGTTCTTATGTGACTTTCACAACAGACTGAAGTAGGTAGTTGAGAGATGGCCTGGAAGAGAAAACACAGATGCGCAATGATTTGAAGTGTGTATGGAGTAGGTGTGCACCATGTGTTACTCTCTCAGTGAGAAAGGCCAAGTTAAAAAGGGAATCAAAATAACTACAGCCAATCAAAGACCCTGTTGAGCTTTGAGAGCTTGCCAAGGCTTTTGACGCTGTAACTGGTTAAGGATGTGGCGACATGTGATAACACACTGTGTTCCCATTCCCTTGCTATTAACACATGACCCTGCTTGCCTTTTATTAAATATATAAAGACACTTTCTCTTTCACTCTAAAAAAGCTGTTAATGACTCAGTAAATCACAGTATGGCAGTATGGAGTAATACACTGAAAAATGGTTCTGTGTGTGGTATGTACACAATCAGATAATCCCTGCTCAATCAGATAGTTTTAACTGAGCTGTAAAATAGTCCGATCATATCTGGGGACATTATCCCAGAAGCCAACTGTAGAAGTGGTCTGTCTGTGAACAGCACTGCTAGCCGTCTGCTTTCCAAATGACCTGTCTCCAAAGGCCTATATCAGCACCCCGTAGTAATCTCAATATGGAGTGTTTGGCTGCGTACCACCGCACCAAAGTGGTCATAACTCTTCAAAATAATCACAGGATAAGCAACTTCATGTCCGTCATTATCTAAGTTCCCCTGATGCCGAATCTGGCATGGAGATAAAGTCGCTCTTTAAAAAAAGTGTGGCCCATGGAACAAACATTCAGTGTCTGGAAAGCAAATATTTTGGTCTGAAATAATTAAACACAAAGACATACAGCATTGGTTTAAGGGTCATTCATTAACACTTAAGCACAACTGGCAATAAAGTATTTTGTACTATAAAATACAACTGCCTTTAAATTACATTGTAGTTCAGTGGAGACGCCTATGAAGAATGACATTTTATAACATTCCAACTATCTGGAGAGAAAAAACAGTAAGAGTAGGAATTAATTTATAGTTTTACGTGGAGCTATTGCAACATTCAAGTATTTTCCTACTTTCTTAAGTAGGGAATATGAGTATTTCTTCCACCACTGCTTGCCAACATGAGATTACAGTGCTCTTGATAATCATAAGGCGTTATCACTGCTTACTGCACTTCATGCTTTCTTAGGATACAAGAAAAACAAACAAAGAAATACTGCATAAAAAAAACTTGCTGTAGAAGTGCAATTGATTTTTACATAAGATCATATCCAATTGGCCGACTCTTAAGCTCCCTGCTGCCGCACTCCTGGCACTTAGCGAGAAATCCGTTCACCTCACATGAATGAAACGCAGCACTGTATCCTAAAACAAACATCAAACTGTGAAAAGAGCTGAAGTTTTGCCACTTCAAATTTCAAGAGTTGCTTTTGTTGGCATTTGATCTGAGAAGTGAAGCAGAGTAGTATAATTGTGTACACAAACACGTATACACCAAATCTCCCACTCTAACACCCCCTTCCATTGGTCAGCGCTTTGAAGACATGATTGCGCCTGACCCAAAGCAACCTCTAGGACAAGTACAAATAAAAAGCATAAAAAGGGATAGAAGCCCAAAACGTATTGGTGAAGCTACAGCAATGTTTGATTAGCTGTGAGGGGAAGGAACAGAAGAGAAGTGGTGGAGTGTAAACGCACAAAAAATGTAGTTCACCACACCCTGTAAACAAACATAAATATTTATACCAATTAATAGTCCAGACCAGGGAGCCACAGTTTGTATCTGGATCATATCAGCCCCATTTTCCAAAAATGTTATTATTGTTACCTACAGACAGGGTGTGTGTCATAAAATATCTTGCTGTTGAAAGTTGAAGGTGGGGAAGTTCAATAAAGGGAAGACTATTGCATACCTTTCACACCATACTGTTTGTACGTTTCTGTTTGTTCACTGTCAGGCAAAATGCTCATCAACAGCTGCAATCGCCGGCAGAGATACCCACATGTAGCCCGTGCCAATGCACTGCAGACTGTAAACGCTTGTCATGCCAGCCTCGCTCCAGACTGCTGACATCCTCAGAAGACCAAGGTCCTAGAAAGAAAGAGCTAACTCTAAACTACAGCTTGCAATGAAATTGACATCTTCTGTTGCTAGTAGTGACACCCTGCTAAACAAACATATCAAGTGGTTTGGATGCACCTCTAGGTATGTTTCCCACTCAGCTATCTATTGCTCTTCTCCCCGTCACAGCTTGTAGACTCATACTGGGTGATACTTCAGCTGCCACCAACCTGCATGTGACACTACTGAAGGAAGGAATTCTGGTCTTTAGTCACATAGATAGCTGTACATTGCATGTCTACTGGTATTTTAGGAATTATGGAGGGCAAATGCACTAAAGTTTTGGACACATTTTAGGCTAAAAGATTCACAGTAAAGGAAAAGAGACTAACAGTAACTATTAAAAGATTTAAAAGACTGGAGTAAAACTATATTGATGATGCCCACTTAGTATCCTGATTTGTTTGAAATGACCCCACAAACATGACTTAAGTGATAAGTGATGAAGTCTCTTAGTATGCCTTGCAGAAACTTTCAAGCAATACTAGCATACTTGAACTAAATCCTAAACCCGCACAAAATGCGTTTTGCCTCCAAAACAGATTTGGAACCAATGTTTATCCTCATAAAATAACTTTTCCTCGGTGTGGAGGAGAAAAGCACATACCACAAAAACTTCAAGGCATTTGAAGCGGCTTTCAAGCATCGCTCTGACAAAAATCTAACAGAAGACAGGAAAAATTCGGGAACCATGTCCGCAGAGGTGCCAAAACACTTTATAGGCCCCGCTGTGGGAGTCTGCACATCTATTCTCGTAAACTGTGGCTCCTGAGCTCAAGTGCATGTAGGGTTAAGGGCCTATGCCACCACAAGCATCTAAACACGATGGCCAAAAGGGTTGGTGATGGCTGACGTCTGCAAATCAATATGAAGATCCAAATCATTCACTCCCCTTATTGTGGACACAATAACGTAGCCTCTTTATCTAGAGATTAAACCTTATGAGACCTCTGCGTCACACCAGACCTGTTCTAGCTCAGAACCCCCCGTCTCAGCAGCTTGTGAATGTGCTCGGAGGCTTTCTGCCAAAATACATTTGCAAAATAATTGCATAATCTCTCCAAACAGCCTGCTTGCGATAAGCAGCTGGGTGGCATATGAACCTGCAAATTGTAGAGAAAATCAAGAGGCTCTGATGCTTTAAACCAGCCAGATCAGATGGGGCCCATATGACGGGCGACTTAAACATGTAATATTACGTACTAATAAACACATACATGTTTTTTTGGGAAAGAAAAATAAAACTCTACATGCTCCGAATGCACAATGATGGATATGGATATGGATATGTTACGCCAGGAATTTAATAAAATGGTACAGACAAACATGTTTGCTCACTTTAAGATCGTTTTCAGAGTTGGCAGTGTGCTATATTGTTTAGAATACAACACACAATAACCAACAGCATCCCTATTCTCTGAGTCTCTTTAACTAACATGACTAATATGGGGAGAGAGAATAGGACAAAAGTGCAGACAGAAAGAGGTATCTGTTCTGTCTCTCAGCCATTCAATCTCTTGCTGCTGTCACTTGAGTGGGCTTACATTTGCTTCTGGGAGACCACTCACAGTGCAAGAGTACTGACCCACGTGTGCTTTTGACAGAAGCACAGTTAGGCTGTATAGTTAGAAGTATAGGAGATGAATTAAAGGCTATTTGTTTGTGTTTAAATACAAGTGATCATATACAGCATCACATCTACATGTCACATTGGATTTGCTAAACTCGCTATGATTGTAGTAGCTAAATGTGTGACTTGTGTCTGCAGATCCATTAGCAAAATGTCTGATGTCTGCAGTGCGCTTTAGACAAAGTGCCGTTCACTTCGAGGTGCCGAACCCACTGGCTCACCTGTGCCAGGTGTCTCCGGTACGCGGTGCAGCGGCCCGACCTGTCGCAGCTGGAAAGCGGTCCTCACTTCATGACAGCTGTACGCGTCCACGTCGATCACATTCGCCACAAATACGACCAATGGCAAAATCCAAAAGGACCCGCAAGAGTTTACGCGTGGGCATATTCCTCGGGACATTGCCGCATCTCACACCAGGTATCCTTGTGGATAGCCTACTGTAGCCTGACTGCAAACTGTGTGACACTGTTCAAAATAGACGGCACTGGAGTACAATGAAGCGACGATGAGTTTAAACATCTGACAAACGTTTCCGTCTGATTTTCACATTATTGTTGCGGGATGAGTGTGAGCGCCTCACAGCAGAGGTTTGAGGGTCTTCTGTTGGACAGAGGAAGAGTGGTGTGGGCTAAAGCCGGTCTGTCCCGCGCTCAACACTTTGCAGTGGTCGGCTGTCTGCATGCCTGTCTCCAAAGCCTTGCGCACACTCCCCTCCCTTTCTGTTTACTTCAGCTAAGTGGCCCAACTAAAACTCACTACAGTATCCCTATGGGAACTTGCAGAGTCTGTGTCCTTGTAACAGCATTTTAGATCCCAACAGCAAAACATTTTTTCGTGGTATTATAAAAAAAAAAAGAGAAAAGTTCATTATATAGCTGAATCATAATTGAACGCGACTTTTGGCGTCATTTTTAAAAACATTACCTGACTCTAAGCTTTTTTTTTTTGTAACTGTGTTACAGTTGAATAATGTAAAATTGAACATTATTATAAAATAGACCACCATTTGGATTAGGCTGTTTCAATTCCATGGGCCTATTTCAGCTATACAAACATACAAACTTCATCAAATTAAAACCTCACCTTTCCCCCTTAACGTTTTTTGTTTGTTTGTTTGTTTGTTCCTGTAACAGAACCAAAGATCTTTCCAATTTGAAACTAAAGGGAGACATCCAGTCACTGTTGTGAGAGGGAACCTTATACATACTGTCAATGGAGGGAACTAAGGTACCACCACCACCTGGTTCCTCCTGTTCTTTATGAAGACTTCAGATGATGACTAAATGAATGATAAGTGAATATAATTCTATCTCTTCAAGACAATTAAATATCCGTGGCAGGGGGGATGAGGTTAAACAGGACAGCACATTTTATTTAGTTTTCAGAGTATGATGATTGTTGAGTTGGAACTGATTTTCCCTGCAACCAGGAGAATCCTGTCCTTAATGTTGCTGAAGCCTGTACAGCAATACTTGTTATCTAATTTACATTGCTGCCATCTACTGGCGAACACGTTTAATACAAAAGCAACCACACAATAGGCTTTTTACAGACTGATTTGCGTGTCACAGTGCTTTTTTATTTTACAGCCTTTGATGTCAAGTTTTATTCATAGTCTGTCTATGGTGTATCAGGTAAGAGGAGGATTCAAATATATGATAAAAACAAAGGTCAATTATCCAATTAAATTGTCATTATCCTGTCATGATAATATCTTTTTCAGATTTGGTGTTGTTTTTTTGTTTTTTTTACGTCCAAAAGCCCAGAGTGTGGTCATTGGAGGGCATGCCCCATGTGAGAATGAACACATCTGAGATATAAAACCTTCAAACTGTGTTAACCACACATCATTACAAAATGCTATTAGTCTACACCCCAGTATTTTTCAAGAAATGTTTTCTTATGCAGCACGGCAGCGCCATTTTAAGTGTGTAACACAGTAAAGGTTTTGCATACAATTTGAAAGTTTGTCACCACATTTCCAAATTGAACCTTACAGTGTACAGTTCTTTTTACATATTTAATGTTGAATACTACCCTCTCCTGGACAGACACAGCACTGCATCAGTGGTCAGATGCCGACTGTTTTATATTAGTCTACAAAGAATTTTGCAATCTGTTTTTACAAATTTTCTATATAAATAAATGATCAATTTGTAGTGGGATTGGGCAAGTTTATTGTGCTGTGGCTTACAGGGCTGCTTCAGCAGAGTTTTCCATTCCTTATTGTTCTCTGAACCAAGGATATCATTTTCATTGTAACTTTGGGGGGGAGACTGCCACCACCAGTTAGTAGTAGTGTGTTCTTAATGTGATGCTATTCACATGTGTAATACACTTATACTATATGTAACCACAGCCTGACCTGAACTGTGTATTGAGAAAGAGAAAAGGGGTTGCAAGTTGCAATTCTGACATTTTTGTATATAATACTAAAACATGAGGATAAAGCTCAAGTTACAGTGAAAATGTCCCCCAATGAAACATCTTCCAGGTGACCCTAACACCTGCTGTCCTAATCAAATGACATCTGATGGACTTTTAGTTTGAGCTATAATGCCAGCAACACAGAGCTCCTACTTGGACAAGGAACCACCAATCTCGTGGCCTCCATAATGCCGCAATATACTCTTTAAGAACAGGGCAGAGACTGACATTAGCTCTTCTTCCGGTGGTTTGGAAGCGGAAGCAGCCAGGCTTGAGAGCTGGTCTCTTAGGAATAAGGAAGGTATTTGGTCAGGTATATACTAGTTAATCTTGGCACAACAGCCGGTCAGTTCAAAGTGGTAAACGATTCTGAGATAAGCAGGTCTTCCTCCTGCTTATCTTTCCCACATGACGCTCTAGCTCCAGCTCAGTCTCCACTTACCTGAAGGAGGCCCTCAGAGGAGGCTATAGCACATAAAAGTGCAGAGGTTGCATGTAGTACACCACACTCGCTGATTTTCCTCCATTCCTGAAAGGCAAATACGTTCTTAATTAGTGTTGACCTCAACATGTTCAATGCGAACAACAACTAATCAAGTGAATTATCAAGATTAAGGCGGTCTCAGCAGGACCTGAAGCTCGGGGGCCAGCATCAGAACTGAATATTGTATGAATATTGTCAAACCCATTTCTTGAACTGATACGGTACTCGGTGCTGGTATGGTGAAGCGGGTTTAGGCATTTTAGAGATGACTTTGGTCTGAAGGAGTACTGTTAATTTACAATTTATTATGAAATGTAAGTTCACAGTTTATATACCTTTTCTCACAGCAGCCATTTTAACATGAAATAGCAAACACAAGTGTTATCAATGATAAGTTCTGTTCCATTTAGGTCAAACAGAGTCATGGTGCTGCTGTTGTGCATCACTGGAAAGGCTCTGCTATACTTAATGGAAAGGAGCCTTGCTTAGTATCACACCTGTGTTTGCCCTACTATTTCATGTCAAAATGGCTGCTGTGAAAAAGGTCTAATTTTAAGGTCAGATTTCTTCCTTTCTTGCCAAAACAAGCTTAAGGAAACCTAACAGGAGAGACTTTCTTGATATCAGATCAGACGACTGGTTTCACAACTGATGAATGTTCTGCCATTATGCCACAATACGAACTTGGAGACATTGCAGAAGGTCAGTCAGAAGGAGATGTAGCTGGCTAACTTGGTTTAAGGGACATGGACATCAACTCACCCGTTCCAGCACTGACTCAGCAGGACCAGAGAGCTTAACATTTTAACAGCCTAAGGAGAACAGGGACAAAGCTTCAACCGGCAAACAAGTAGATTAGTCATTTGCTGTGATCATCAAACAATGGCAAAGAAAATAGGCATAAGCATTATAAGCATAAACTATTATGAGGCCACCTAATTAAGCTAGTGTGACTTTGTTGGTGTGTGCCTGGTGGTGGAAATCCAGGTATGGATTTTCTGCTGTGGTGGTAAAGAATGAAACAGACCAATTTCTCTCCTTGACTAATTACATAAAATAATGTGAACTGCTAAGTTCCGCACCTGATATTCATATGAAAATTGAATTAACCATTCTTCTTAAGACACTGAAATCCTGTCCTGTCAATGTCAGAGTCAGACAGAAAAAAATTATTTAGTTACTTAGAGCAAACATTATATGTGGTATCTGGTATAAAATGCAAGACAGTTAATGCTGGCACAGAAATGCTCGTTTAACGTTACATAAGTGTGCACAACAACGTTAGCATACGACACAGACCAATGTTTAGTTCAACATAGCCACGACTAGTGACTCAAATGTATGCTAGCTCATACTGTAGCTAATGCGTTCATACGGTCCATGCTTAAGTTAGCTGCTAACAGACACTCTAACTAACGTTACATAACGTTAGTTAACTCTCTGTTGTTCCATTATTTAGTTATGCAGGCTGGCATAAGACCCCATCTTAAAACTAATTAAAACAGCCAACTTGGGAGATTTGGAAAAGGTCTGAAATGTACAATAATATGTAACGCTAAATATAAAAATAATGTGAAAGCACGCCACTATTTGTGCATACATGCTCACTAGCTACTAGCTATTATCTTTAAATACAGTAACAGCTTTGAGGTGTTGCTAACTTACATGAATTAAGCTAGACTCCGAAAAGTTTGTTTTGCAACTGTTTTGTTTTTCAACTTGAATACGTTTAGCCTCTACTTTTCTGTTCTTCGAGTATATATTAATAAGGTCTTAAAGTAAGAAGACCTTTTTAATAGCAGACATTTTGACTTGTTTTAGCTGGAAATATACAGGTGGTTTGACCCACAGCTCCCGTCTGGCTTCACAGTGAAGCTCATAAACTGACCTGCAGCTCCATTAGGACCAGCAATGGGTAAGTTTGCATGGGTGAAACATGTTGAAAGTGCTTTGGACTACTTTATATAGGTCCAGTTGTTTATTTTGGTGTTCACTGTGTTGGGCTTCTTTCCTTGTAATAACAGCGTGGTGTGACCTTTTCAAGAGTTTTGGTGTTCGTTTGACACGATTTACGAGAGTAATCTTCTTTTTATTATTGTGACTGACTTTTTGGACTTTATGATTGTTTCTATATGTAGTATTTTTGTTCACCCAGGGCTTGGATCAGCCAAAAGGTCTCCAGTGAGAGGTAGGTTATCTTATTGTGTCTCTACCTATGTATCCATGCCACGCTGAAATTGTGATTATGAGCTGATAAGTTCATTTCTTCATTTCGTTCAGTTTGGAATTAGCAGATAACCTTTTATTATACATTTTCAACTAGGGCCTGCCTGTTAGGATCCAGTGGGACTATTTTGGGGGGAAGTAAAAACATTTCTTTAGCAACAGTAAGACAGTCAAACTTATTTGTTTCCACATATAGATTTATAGACTACAGGACAGTCCCGATGCAGCTGCTTCTGCCTAGGCCTTTTTGACATTTAAAAACCAAGTGAGGAAAGAGAGGAAGGAGATTTGTGTGTGTGTGTGTGACACATATGTGTCAGCAGATGGCGCCAATAACCCTAGATTTCATAGTCCTTACTCAGACACCTTTGATGCTAATTTATGCAGGTTACATTTTTTCTGTGCAAAGTACCATTAACATTACCATTAACTGTAGTTCAAAATAAGGTCAGTAGGAGGTGACTAGGAGCACATGTTTTCTATAACCTGTCTGAGGTGACAAGAAGTCCTTATTTGCTCTCCAGACAGTCTAGACTTTATGTCAAAGCCAGCCAGACTTTA